CTCCCAGCGGATCTCCTGGATCCCTGTGCCCCATCCCATCCCTCCAGTCCCACAATCCCCAAATCCCAGGCCCATTCCCAGGGTGGTGCATCCTCCCCTGGCCCCGACTGGACTCACCCCACGGGGGACTGGGAGGGACTGGGATGAGTGGGATGAGGGGAATGAGCTCAGTCGTTTTCCTGTTTTTACATTCCCAGCCCAGTCAGCTGATTAAAAAAAAAAAAAACACTTTCCTTTATGGATCTGCCCTTGGATCTGCCCGGGATCGGCCACAAACACGGAATTGGAAATTCGGGATCAGAAACAAGTGAAGAGCTGTCGCTCCAGGGCGGCTCCAACACGGAAAACCGCAGCTCTTCCCAAAAAACCACAAGGCCCCCGGAGATTCAGGGACTCCCAGGCTCGTCCAGGTGCCCAGGAAAAAACTGGGATGCCCGGGAGCTTCCCAGCTGGGAATCTCCGGGAGCGAATCCAAGTGGAGCCGGGAGATGGGAGGGGAAGGGGCAGGATCCTGGAGCAGCTCCCCGCGAGTCCTGACCCTGTGGGAGCCACCCGGGAGGGTGGGGATCCCTGTCCCGGGGGGTTGGATCCCTGTCCTGGGGGGTTGGATCCCGAAGGGATCCAGGAACAACAGGATGATGGCACTGCCCCCCCAGCACAGGGATTTTGGGATGATCCCGCTCCCCTGGTCCGTGCTGGGAGCGGCCAAACTCATCCCTGGAGTGGCTGGATCGGGACCAGGGGTCCCGAATCCACGAGGAGGGGGTCGGAGGGGACCACCACGTGCCCATCCCGCAGTTCCCCGGAGCTCCAGCAGCACTTTGGACCCAGCAGGAATTCCCGCTCTGGAGGAGGAAGGACAGAGCTGCTCCTCCTCCTCCTCCTCCTGCAGCCCCTGAGCTCCCAAATCCAGGGGGGCCCTGGCTCCCTTGGGTCCTGGGGTCTTTGGGGGGGGGGCCATTGGGGGTGCCCAGGTCACCCCAGGACCCACCTGTGAGTCCCAGCCCTGCAATTCCCAATTCCCGGGGTCC